GATCCGATTCCAAAACGATTCTTGATCTACATTTTTTCCTAATTCTTCTGCTGTGCAAATACGTCTTTACAACTTTACATTTTAACCAAAATTGCAGTTTCTATGCTTTTTGTTTATAGTTGGAATCTCTGTAAGTCAGTACTGCCAACTTAAAGCTGCAGTTCGTAACTCTTTTTTTGTTTAAAAATGGTCCGAAATCAATATTTGAGCAAGTACATAACCAGCCAGTGTTCAAAACTATCTCCTTACTTCAGCCCAATTCACAACGGTAAGCTTATAATAATGTTTTCTAATTTGAGTGGTACGGGTAGGTTTTCGCGGGAAATTCGAGCATGGCACTGCGTCATTACGTCACGTCTGTAAACAGAGAAGTTGTCCTGGCTACTAGTAGGGCTGTGTATCATCAGCAAAGTCACGATACGATACGTATCACGATACATGACTGCACTGAATTTCACCTCTGCAGAATTTAGAAAAACAGCTGTTTATTAAACACTGCTTACTATAGTGCCATTTCTAACTATTGGCAGAGCAGGCAGCTGACCTCTGCATTATGAAGAGCCTCCATAACTGTACCACAGTACAATATAGGTAATTGCATATGTTTCATGTTTACATTGTGCACTCCCAACCAGGTACAATATTCTGATTGTTTGCATCTTGTTTTTAAGCCCATAAATAATAATGTACTTGTTCTAATAAATTTATATTGTAATGTACTCATTCTAATATGTTTAAAAAATAATTTACATTGCTGGTAGGTTATCATTGCACAAATTACACACTCTACAATAAAAAAAAAAATGAGAAGAGTTCTAAACTAACGCACTGTCTTCACTGTATCTAATGCACACGCTCAAGGCTGATTTATTCTCGAGCGTCCGCAAGTTCGCTTTGAGTGCCCGCGACGTCGTTTCGCGTGACTGTGTGCACAACATTTTTTTTCTTAACAGATGCCCTATTCATTCTTTTTTAGAAACCTCGCACTTTTCTACTCAATTTTAAACGTTGTAAAATTAAGCGTGGTCCACTGCTGCATATGTGCCACAGTATCGATACAGGGCCAGCTGTATCGATACTCGTATCGTCAAATCTCTGTGACGATACATCGTCGTATCGATATTTTGAACACAGCACTAGCTACTAGGTTATCGCATGTGAGGATGCTGCAGGTGGAGGATCGTTTATAGCCTTTTCTCACAGCAGCCAGAATAATTAAATGTATCATTTTGATGGCTGATTGTAATCCAGAAAGGATTGTGTTTATGAAGCATTAGTTTAACACACATTAAATTATATTCCAGTTATAAATGTGCTCTTGATTAGGGTTGTGACGGTGAGGAAATTTTCCCACGGGTTAATCGACGTGTGACAATACCGGTAATACCGGTATCACTGCGGGGGCGGGGCATTCCCTTTTTTCCTCGCTTTCCTTCGCTTTTAAATAGCTTGTGAATTAGCAGCAATTCGGCGTCAATTGCTTGAATGCAACAACAAAATACAACGTCAAACTCACTTTAGCATATATATAAAACAGAACTTTTATTAACAAAACGAATAAAAATACACCATGCTAAAGGGCAGGCTATGCCTAATATAAAATAGCAAATAACTTGCATAAAGTTTAAATGGGTATACAAAACTGGAAATAAGTAAACATGTATAATAAATAACTAAATAAATAAGAAACGTAGAACATTTATTAGCAAAACGAGTAAGAAAGCTTGGAGGCACGGCATACACCTTGATGTCAAATAAAATAAATAAATGACACAAAGTTTAAATAAAGTAAAATTCAGCAAACAATGTGGAACCAATTAAATAAGAAATGAATGTTTTAAAAAAACTTCCAAAGTTATAAACGACAAAAGTCAACAGGTTTTTCAAAATCCAAAATATTGCCAAACAAACACTTTTGCATTTCGTTTAGAAACTAAATCATCCGCGATCGTCTTGTCTGTCTCACCTCACTCTTCTCGTCAGTCAGCTCGACTCACTCTACTCAGTGGAGAAATGAAATCTGATCTGTGATGCGACTGTCGTTCGGCACGATGCATTGAGCAGCCGCATTCAGTTTTTAATTGTAGTGTCTGTTCTTTTACTGAACTAAATTATTTTTATTACTATAAAAAATCAAAACGACGGTGGGGGTCGGTGGGCAAGTGACGTAACGGCTTAACGTATCATCTTCAGCACCGTCTATCGCGGCAAGCCTACTTCTGATTACAGAGCCTGGGATTACAAAGATTTGTATTTTAAAGAAAACCAGTTCGAAGGGAACATAAATTGCTTTTTGGGTTAAAAGAATTTCTTAATATGAAATTCGAAAAGTATGACAATTAGATTAGACTATGCGTAAATTGAAATCTACACGCTAATACACATTATACTCATAGTCACCAATGCTGATGTTGTTAACATTAATCATTTGAGAATAAAGTATAACAATAATAATAATTGGAATGATTTGCTGTGACATGAGCTAATCGATCTTTAGATTTAATCACCATTGGTAGCGAGATTTATTGTAATGCTTTTTTCCTCAGTTGGTCAGAACAAACGTGGCAGACTTGTTACTTGTTCAGATGGCAATATACGGTGAAAATTCTTATTTGGGTCATATTCCAAGACGTAGGCTAGAATCTGTGATTGCAAAGTACAGTAAATATCCACAGTGGTGCTGTGACTGACTGCCACACACTCTTCAGAACATTAGATTCATCCGCGCTGGAGCCGTGCTGACTCAACTCACGCAAGCTAGATAATTCCACACACAGCTGCAATTCCAGGTTTTCAAACAGAGATGGCGACAAAGAGGCAAAACTTACGGACTGCAGCTTTAAAAATAGGGTGTGAATCTTCACTGGTTTCACGATTCAATTCGATTGCGATTTTATCATGTCAACGATTCGATTAAACTCAATATCACGATGCGTCACATTCTCAAATTTCAATATTACTGCACATGCCTACATTTTCATATAAATTTTATATACTTTTTTTTTGTGTGCAAATTTTACTTACTTTTTAAAAATGTAATTATATAAGCAGGCTACTTTTTAAAATAATTACTTATTTAAAAAAAATAAGTGTTCTTTAAGTAGACTATCCGAAAGTTTACAGACAATCATAGTTATGGGTTTTTCTTTTTTCCTCAGCGTTATTGCTGTTTGATTATTACTGATGAGATCACAGACAGAGGCAGCTTTAACAGGCTGCATTCACACCGATTCACATTAATGCACATTTCTATTTCGATATATCAGATATTTTGTCCTGTTCTGAAAACATAACTGACTGTGTTTACATCAATTTCATATAAAAGTATTTGGAGATGCAAGTGCATTTAACCACAGCCGCGATCGAGCTTCAGGACAACAAACGCAAAGCACACGTGAAAGTCTGTCAGTACGTGAGTTTCGTGCATCTTATACGTACTGCATTCCAAACGGCATAAATGAAAGCATATCTAACGTAAAATACTGAAATAACTGCGGGTGTAAGCACACACTGTCAAGCAATGCACACGTGTCTCACAGCGCATATTGTGTGTAATGATGCCCGCCGCGATTGTCTCTAGCGCGCACACCTGCCATATGCGGGGAAAAACCTTGCTCCGAATCATTGAAGAGAGAATCGCGATGCATCGAAGAATCGATTTTTTCTCCCACCCCTAAAAATATATATATGCACACACACACATTTATTCATTTATTTTTTCATTTTGGTAATTCATTACATAACGAAAGTAAAGGATCCTTTATCCTTTGTTAGGTCGCTGCCAACAGACATATTGCACCAGACCACCTGTTGCAAATATGCAAGCAGATTGGTCCGATTCTGGACCGAGAGGTTCCGTCTGGTGTGCCAGGAGTCTACTCTCTACTCGGGGCCGGGAAACACTCTTTACTGCGAACGTCAAAAGGTGAGAAGGCTGGAGCTTTCAACCCCTTCTGCCTTGGTGTGTTTGTCAGCTATCCAAGTGTAAATGTCACTACTGTCTGCCTTCTCTCAACATCTCTAGACTGCGGCAATAGCAGATGGAAAGCTTCCACGTTTGCGGCCCTTCATAGAGGGAGACCACCTGAGAGGCCTTTAAGCTGCAGGGATGCCAATATTGGTGAGTACCTTCCGTTTGCTGTGTCAGGGCTCAACGGTGAGGATTTTTAATAATAATTTTTTTTGCTACATTTTTATACAAAAATACAAAGATCACTGTATACTTTTTTTTTTTTTTAAGTTGGCTTGAAACGGTAGTTCTTTTCTTCCCTATTGTGACGCATATTCAAGTGAAACATTTTCTCGAATGACAGACTTTTTTTTTCATCAGGTATTGATCGGGTCGTTGTTTGCTAATTGCTATGATCTCATTTGAGATGCAGGTTGCTGGAAGAGAGGGAAATATTGTTAGGATGTTGATTATTTAAAAAAAAAAAAGAGGCCTTTAAGCTGCAGGGATGCCAATATTGGTGAGTACCTTCCGTTTGCTGTGTCAGGGCTCAACGGTGAGGATTTTTAATAATAATTTTTTTTGCTACATTTTTATACAAAAATACAAAGATCACTGTATACTTTTTTTTTTTTTTAAGTTGGCTTGAAACGGTAGTTCTTTTCTTCCCTATTGTGACGCATATTCAAGTGAAACATTTTCTCGAATGACAGACTTTTTTTTTTCATCAGGTATTGATCGGGTCGTTGTTTGCTAATTGCTATGATCTCATTTGAGATGCAGGTTGCTGGAAGAGAGGGAAATATTGTTAGGATGTTGATTATTTAAAAAAAAAAATTTCTTAGTAATTGTTTTGATTAAAGATCACTATATGCAGAATGGCAAATATATGCACAGATAAATAATTTAGTTGCTTCTTAACAAATAACTTGCTTTAAAAGCTGAAAATAAGTGAAAAGTTGAAAATAATGTTTATGATGGTCTATGATATGCAGCAATACTTGAATTATAGTGCTATAATGTAACTACATAGAGGACACATTAGACATGACCCAATTATCTACTTGGCTCACCTTCTGTGTATAAAGACAGCACAGAAGCACATGGAGATCCAAAGTACTTGAAATCAAATGATCAAATTAGGGCTCTGAATCATTTACATTCTTTACTAAATCAATTGTTTTTCAGTTAATCACAATTAATTGCATCTGAAATTAAAATTGTTTTTGTAAAATTTGTACAGTTTTTACTTTGAATATAAAAGTAGTTAGAACCATTTTGAAATTTGACAATTTTTAACATTTAATAGTCTGATCATTTACAGTTCAAACCTTACTTCTCTATTGTTTAACAACAATTTTAGAACATGATGGTTGTCATAAGCTGTCAATTCTTGAACAGTCTAATAATAAAATAAGTAATAAAAAACACTAGTTAAAAATCTGTAGTATTAATATTTTTATGTGAGGATTAGATGTCAGAGGGACTGGCAAGGAATTGGGGTTGGAAGGATGATGCTTTAATTGCATCCATGAATGCTGATGTAAGATGATGAACTTTCCACAGCATGGCTTTCCTCTCACTCTGACTCCTAGCCATCCCTGATCCCTGTTGAATGTATTTAGACTTCTGGCCTGGCAAACAGAGAAATGAAATGTTGAGTGATTTGAGTGGATTTCCTCTCTGTGGTTGTAGCGGAGGTGTGCCGAGGCAGAGAGCTCACAGGAGCTCAGCGCTTCAGCTCTATCAACCCTGTCAGCAATTATCAGCACATGAAGATGCACAGGAGGATCCTGGGGCATCTCTCTGCCGTGTACTGTATAGCCTTTGATCGAACAGGTTCCAGGATTTTTACGGTGAGCATCAGTATACTTTTAAAGTGCCCTCAGACTCGGCTCTTGGTCTGCTGTAGAACCCTTGACCCTGTTCATTTCCTGACCCTCAGGGTTCCGACGATGCCTTGGTGAAGATCTGGTCCTCTTTTGACGGAAGGCTTCACTCCACTCTCAGAGGACATTATGCTGAGATATCAGATCTTGCAGTTAACTTTGAGAATACCCTTATTGCGGCCGGGAGCTGCGACAAAACCATTCGAGTCTGGTGCCTTCGTACTTGTGCCCCAGTGGCGGTCCTGCAGGGCCACAGTGGATCTATTACCTCTTTACAGGTAAGAGTGCTGTATGACTTTAGTGTCCTTTTCGTGTTTTTATTAACGCTAAATCAATGTAGGAGCTTGGCAAGTGAATTTACCAGCATTCTCAGTAAATCTTACTGACCATGAAATAGTTTTTGTAATTTATTTTTATTAAAATAGTTTTTGACAAATAAACATGTTAAGATATACGTAATGTTACAATATTTATCTTCTGGGGAAAAAAATCACTGTTTCCACAAAAATATCAAGCAGCAAAAAACAGTTTTTAACATTAGATATATTAAAGGGTTGGTTCACCCAAAAATGAAAATTCTGTCATTAATTACTCGCCCTCATGTCGTTCCAAACCTGTAAGACCTTCGTTCATCTGCGGAACACAAATTAAGATATTTGATTAATTCTGACAGCTCTCTGACCCTCTCATAGACCGCAATGATCCAGGTCCAGAAATGTAGCAAGGAGATCGGTAAAATAATCCATGTGACATCAGGCGTTCAACCGTAATTTTACGAAGCTACGGGAATACTTTTTGTGCGCAAAAGAAAAACATAGTGCTGTCAAATGATTAATCGAGATTAATCGCATCCAAAATAAAAGTTTTTGTGTACATAATATGTGTGTACTGTATATTTATTATGTAGATATAAATAAATACAAATGCATGTATATATTTGAGTAAAATGTGTTCTGCTTATATATTGAATATATTTATGTATAATATAAATTATATGAACATGTAAATACATGTTTAAAGGGGTCATATGATGATTCTAAAAAGAACATTATTTTGTGTATTTGGTGTAATGAAATGTTTGTGGTTTAAGGTTCAAAAAACACATTATTTTC